GACATGGAGGTCATGTGGGACAGTGTCGAATAAAAAAAGAGTTAACTCTTGGCTAGGCAGCTTTAAACAAATACCACCTGAGGTCTGTCAGGACTCCGGTAACCTGATGCCATGAGCTATAGTGTCTTCATGCTATGCTGACCAGGTGTTGCTTATTGTCTGCAGTGGTGACTAGGTTTCCTGAAGCACATAGGATCATAGAATGGTGTGGTCTGGAAGGGACCTTAAAGATCATCTAGTTCCAACCCTCCTGCCCCAGGCAGTGACACCTTCCTGCTCAAAGCCCTGTTCAACCTGGCCCTGAACACTGCCAGGGATGGGGCAGCCACAGCTTCTCTGGGCAACTTGACATGAGTTCAGTTAGTGGCATTTGGAAGGGTATGACACTGGAGTGGTCTGTTTGTCTGTATAATCAGTACTGGGAATTGGTAGCTGTGATTCAGTGAGGAGTTCCAGCCATCAGATGGGAAACACAAAGAATGTTCCAGTTCAGTCAGCATGCAGCATCAGTCACATTTCTATGTTTATTAATGTTAATTTAGAAGTGTCTATGTTTTTAAACCGTGACCTCTTTCATGGATCTGTGATGCTGGATAGTTTTCATTCTTTTTTATTTTCTGCTTGAAAAATCAAGATCTTTCCCTCCAGCCATAAGAAATTTTACTTCTAGGTACAATAAGCATCATCATAGCACTGCAGCAGAAAGTATTTTAGTAATTACTGATGAATATATTTTCTTAATTTTATTTTTTTTTCTTCTCCCCTGGAACAGTTTGGAGTGACTTCAAAGAGTTTACGGAAGTAGTAAATATAGAGCTGTTACCTGTGCCTTTGGTAGTCTGAGAGAACTCAGCTCAGAAACTTGCTTAACATTTTAGAAAGCTAAATTTAAATGTGTGTGCTCTCTTCTTGCAAAAGGCTGGCAGATTCTAATTGTTATCTTTTGCATTATGAGTAGATCACTTTATTATTTTTCCCTTCCAAAAAATGAAGGATGAAAAATTCAAGTACATATGACAAAGGCTTTATTGTTGGATTAGTTTTCTTTCATATATGGGTTATGATTAAACATACGCTGTCAAAGAGAGACCTCTTTGTAGGTACTATTGATTAGTATTTGAGACCTGCCAGCAGCATTATTACTTCATGTATAAGAAAATCTAATAGAAAATTATTAAGTTGATGTTTTAGTTCCTATAGTGAGAACATTGCAGGTATTCATTTCATATCTTTGCAGAAATTACTTGACTCAAGTAGATACCACAAAATCATGTTTTAATGATTTTTTTCCTTTTTCCATCTTTTTTTTTTTTTTTTTTTCACAGTCACATGACACAATCAGCCACATTTGAAGACCCTCGAATAGAGAACTGCCAAATAACCCCTCCAGCCCCTCGGAAAGTGGAAATGAGGAGGGATCCTGTGCTAGGATTTGGGTTTGTGGCTGGTAGTGAAAAGCCAGTTGTTGTACGCTCAGTAACACCAGGTATGTTTTCCCCACCTGACCACAGAAGCAAACTCGGACTTAATCTACTGAGATGAAATACGGTGCAAATCTGAGTACTCTTAAAATATTCAGGCAGGCAAAGTAGTTACAAATACTAGGTAGATTTTAAGTCTTGTATTACCCAGTAGTTTCCCTCCTTGCACTCGTTTTTGAACATTATGTAAATGTGTTAACAAAAAGGCAATTTTAGGTTATTACTCTGAGCCATTACTGTTGTTTGCTTGAGAAGAGTTGACCCACTTCATTCAAGGAAAGAAGGTCTTCCCCCTGCTACATTTATATTGGTTTGATGTCACCTTCATTGCCATTGAATCAGTGCTTTCAAGAGGTATGTTGAGTTGAGAGATTAAAACTTACATATTTTTCATTTTTTTTATCATCAGCTTCACAAGGAGAACTAGGTTTCCAACTGTAATACCTGGTTCTAACTGCAGTATTTGTTTATGAAAAAGAGGATGTTATTACTGCCTTTTTTGTTTGTTTGTTTGTTTTTTAATGGATACTTCTGTATAAGTACATGGAAAAAAGCCAGGTCAAAATAGTTCCCTAACTGCCTTACATGGAGTGAACATTATTGAGGTTTGTGGTATTTTTGAACTTATGGGGAACCAGACCTGGGACTAATCAGTCTCCTGAAGAGCAGCCTCCTGCTCTCTATGCTTAAAAGTTCAGTTCTTATGTAAAATTGCCTTGGAGCCGAGGGCCAGGATTCGACTTTGCTTTTGTTTGATATGTCCTCCAGAACCCCCACAGAGAGCAGAGGAGAGGCAAAATTGGTTTTGTGAAGTTCTGATGTCATTTGCGCACATGTGTGCATTGATTATATTTGTATTGTTTTCAGATGAACCCAGCAGTGTAACTGATATTTGAATTACATCCAGACAGGTCATTTCCCCCAAGTTAGCATTATTAATGTTGTTCAGTGTTAAAGTTCAGTTTGGAAAAGGTATATATTGTATCCTGTTCCAAATGAATAGGAGGAAAGATGGGCTCAGGACAACATTCTTCTACATGGATTTGTATTCATTCATGCTGAATATACGTAAATGAAGATTTCAAACCAAACAGAGGAAAGGAACAGCATCAGCTCAATTATGAAATGATTTGGTTTTGATACAGAAACACTTTCTTTTAGGACTTTATCTTCATATTGGTAATATTACTGGGGGTTTAGTGTATCATCATTGTGGAGTTCAAAGACTAGAGAGGGCGTGTCTTTTCACCAGCAGTTGCAGTGTCACACCCTCTTCTGGGCATGTAATCATGCTGAAAAGTAAAGTATTATGTGCATTTATAAAACATAAACTCAATATGTATTTCAGTAGTGTCAGAATCCAAAGCACATAGACATGTACATGTCTGCCTACTCAGGCTAATGCTAAATATTTGTGTCTAACTGGAAGTGGCAATGCTTTTGGATCTGTTCACCAAGTGGTAGGAATCCAGAGGAAAAGAGACTCCGAGGCTAGAAGTATAGAAACTTGCTGTCTTCAGATTGAAGAAAACAGGTTTGTTACACCTGGAACAGAGAAGTCAAAGGAGAGACTGCAAATGACTTTCAAATATCAAAGTGATGTTTCATAGGAAAGAAGCGTAAGATATTCTCCAATGTTACTTTGCCTGGGACAGGAAACAATATGTTGCAACAGGGCAGATCTGATGTAGGCAGCAGGGAAAAAGACTTTTGGTCTCAACAGTAGTTAAACAGAATCATTCATTTATGGGAAAAGGAGTCATCCTCAGGGAGGTCTTACTAGTGTATTGGACAAACATTGAGTATGGTATGATTGATCACACTTTAAAGGGTGAATTAGACCACCTCTTATGGGTTCTTTTGGCCCTCCAGAAAATCAAGTCCTTATTTTTAGGTGGCTAGATGTGGGTTTGCAACTTAACTTGAGGAACTTCAGTAAAAGCTGCTGCGTCACTCACTAGCTTTCAAGATTTTCCTGGTGAAGAAGTACTGGTAATGCCAGAAATACTGTTAGTGTCGAACATGCTATTATTTGAAGAAAACCAGACTCATAGTATGTGAACAATAGAGTGCATTTACAATGGTCTGCTAACCTGTGCTTTTTTTCCTTCGTTTGTCTCCAGGCGGCCCCTCTGAAGGAAAGCTTATACCAGGGGATCAGATCATAATGATTAATGATGAGCCAGTCAGCACTGCTCCAAGGGAGAGAGTCATCGACCTTGTCAGGTAGTGGATGTCCTGTCACTTAAACTGTGAACCCAGTGCCTTATTGTCTGTGCAGTCATTTGATAATACAGCAGGTCTTGCCTTCTCATGGCTGAGGAAAGAGAAAATAATGTTTAGGCGTAATAAATAATGGTGAACTATTTTAGTATTTAAATGAAGTGTCCTTTTAAATGTTCTCTGGGTAAAGAAATAGCTGAAAAAATATAAGATACTGGAACAGCTCCAAGATACTTGGGTATCTAAAGAGGAAGAGTATTCTCCTGATATTTATTTTTGATATGGGTTGTTGAAAAGATAATTCCTGGAGCAAGGCAGCTCAAGTCCATGTTGCTCTGTTGATTTTTTAACATGAAGAAAGTTGAGGCAGGTCTGTCATATGTAAAGAGGAAAGAAAATGTGGTGGGGTGATTTTGCAACTGAAAGAGGTAGATTTAGATTAGACATTATGAAGAAATTCTTCACTATGAGAGTGGTGAGGTGCTGGCACAGGTTGCCCAGAGAAGCTGTGGCTGCCCCATCCCTGGCAGTGTTCAGAGCCAGGTTGGATGGGGTTTTGAGCAACCTGGTCTAGTGTGAGGTGTCCCTGACCATGGCAGGGGGGTTGGAACTGAAAGATCTCTAAGGTCTCTTCTAACTCAAACCATTGTGTGTGTGTGTGTGTGTGTGATTTTTAAGAGCAGATAGGTGCATGTAAATGGGAATATGTAGGGAAGGTCAATGAGTTTGGGGTGGATTTCAGGTAGATGAGTTTGTGTGAAAAAAGTAGGTAAGGATGTGTAGATAGGAGGCAGAAAACAAGACAAAAAACTGACTGTGGAGAGTGCAGGAAAGGTGAAATGTCAATATTTGTAATGGGATGTAGAAGGAGAGAAAGAACAGAGACTGAATAATGTAGACACAGATGAATGTAGAAAAATTATGTAGAAAAAGATACAGTGTGGTTCACATAATAAGCTTTGCATTTGGAGTAACAAAAAGTGTTAGTGCATTGCATAGAAAAATTATTAGTAATTAAAAAAAAAAACCATAAAAATCTTTGTTTTAAATTCCAGTAGCCTGGTTGCTGCACACCAGTTTTGTTTCCGTATTTTCCTTCTCATTGGTGTAATCTCTGAATTGGTGGGTCTAGTTGATTCCTGGGAGATACTTAGGTTTTAACTGTGCAGGCACCTCTCCTCAGAACTGGTAGTTGTCATTGTTGTCAGTGTTACTCATGTAATTTTGAAAAGTCACACTTGCTTCCAGAAATTTGGGCAGGAGGCGCCATGTACTCCTCTTGAAGATCACAATTTGAGCAAATGCATGCTCATTTGCTGGGGATCCAGCTGTGAAGCAAAATTCAAAAGGCGAAACAGAAATGGTATAAAGATGCCAGCAACACTGATGCCTTTATCTGGGTTAGGCAGGTTTGGAGAAAATAAAATACATTTTCAGATTTAAAAAAGAAAAAAAGAAAGGAGTGTTAACCTGCAAGTCAACTGATAAAACCACAGAATATTAAGAGGAGACTTCAGCACTTGTGTCTTGTGACAAAGACCAATGAACTGTCCTGTTCCTGATAAATTTCTGACCTATGATCTATATTGGCCATCAGCATAAGCCTCACAAATGGGTCTTAAACTCATTTTGATGTCATCGATTCTTCATAAAGTCTTCATTCTTTCCTTTTTTTTTTTTTTATATTTATGTAATTAGAATTAGGATCTCTTTCTCATTTCTTTACTGCCAGCAATGTGTAGTAATAACAACAAAGTAAATAGACTGAATAGGCCTGAAACTAACTGAATTTATTGTGTGGCTGATTCTCTGACAGCTTTCAAATGAGAAACTGAATAAGAATGTCACACTTCCCAATTATGTTGACTCTGTAGGTAGTGTCTTAAATTAAGTGTTGTTGCATTCCAGGGGAAGCTTTTGGTGATGCTTTTCTTACACTATAATTCTACCTCTGCTTTCAAAATCTATCTGCCATTGGGATTTTGACAGAGACTCATTCTTTGATAGGATCCAGAGTGAAACATATTGGGATTGTATATTACAGCATTTGAAATTAAGAGCTTTCTCTTTATGCCAGTGGGGACACCTGGAATGATTAGACACTGTCACTGTACAGTACTGACACCAGTATTGTGGTGTCAGTATTGTGGTATCTGAAAGCAGAGGCAGTTTTTTACACCAATGAAATAATGAATCTCTTCTGTATAACAGAAGGTTTTCATATGCATACATCTGCAACTTTGAAAATGCTTGCTTTCAGTTTTCAGTGTGTATGGAAGCTATTTTGAAATCTTGTTTTCCAGCCGGGAGCAGTGTATCTGTACGAATGAATAGGTTTTAGATTCAGGAGTTAGGCAATAGGCAAAATGAAAAAATGATAGAATAGAGAGATGGGATTTCTGGAGGTCGTCCAGTCTAACCTCTTGCTCAAAGGAAGCTAGTGTCAAAGTTAGATGTGGTTGCTCAGCACTTGTCAAATCAAGTTTTTAGTATCTTCAAAGATGGAGATTTCACAACCGCACTGGGCAGATGTTTCAGTTGTCATCTTGCAAAGATGATAGAGGACAGCTTTTACAAGACATGATCCAACTCCCTTCACTGCCTTAGATGCATACCATCTGGGCCCATGGACTTGTGAGTGTCCCTCTTGCCTAGAGCAATCACTAATTCAGTCTTTGCCTACTACTGGGTCTACTTTGTCTGTTCCTTAATTCTGCCACTAAACTCAGCAACCAGAGTGGCAGATCTTGCCACTAAAGACCAAAGCCAAGAAAGCATCATGTTGAGGTACTTGAGGCCTTTTCAGTGCCCTTCATTAGGCTGCCCACACTATTTAACAGTGAGTTCACATTTCCCTTGGTTTTCACTGCTGATGTAGTTGTAGGGGCCCTTCTTTTTACCCTTCACATCCTGTACCAGTTTCAGTGCCAGGTGAGCCTAGCAAACCCTGTCCTTGCCTGGCCAGGTAGGGATTCTCTTTCTCCTGGGTAACCTCTCTCCGTTTCCATGTCTGGTTGACTTCTGTTTTGCACTGTCAGGACATTCATTTATGAAAAGAGTTATGCTATTGAAGGAAGAGAACATGGAAAAGAGAATTTCTGCAATGGTTTATATTAAATCCAAAAAATAAAAAAAGATTCAGAATGTCCACCAAGAAAGGTGTCTGAAAAATGTCAATTAAATCTTTTTTCATTAGGAAAAAGCATGTCCCTAAGCAATAAATCTATTTTATTTCTGAATTTTCCACGAATTAAGTCGATGCAATTTGTTTCAGATGACTTGTTCTTCTTCACCTCTTTTACTATCAGCTCCAACTTCATCATGTACCTTCTATTCTTACAGGATTAGAAATAAATGGACCAGTCTTTTAAGAAAGTCCCTTTTTTATCGTAATGGTTTTACTAAAGGAAAATGCAAGATAAAGAGAGCACATAATACAGAAATTTTCACATTGTCTCTATTGCATTTTAATATTTTAATTATGTGTGTGCTTTCTAAGTATTCATTACTGAAAATAAGCTTCCTTAAGTAGAAAATTGTATTAAAACCACTCTGCTGACTCCAGGGGGTACTGAGCAGGAACCTGGTGAAAGCTTATGGTTTGTTTTTTGAGAATTGAGGGATATTGTTGTATCCTAGGTGGTCTCAGGTCTGGAGATTATTAGGGATATTCACTATAAATATCCCCTGCAGGTCATTCTCATCCATCTAATTCTTTTGCCTCCGCTTTACTGGCAACATTTAATTAGTGTTCAAGTTGTGCTTTGAAAGCCAAGGTTGCAGAAATATGAATATAGTATGGTTTGCAGACAAAATACATAAGGACTCGTTATTTCCAGGTAATGTTCAATGGCTTTTACATCATACTATGTTCTCCTGAGCTATTTTCAAGCAGAAACCCTGAACTATTTTCAAGCAGAAACCATGTTTACGGTTTCCCTTACAAAGAGAGGTCACCTTTATGAGCATCACTTATGCCTGCAGTCTAGATATGTTCCATTCAAGACACAAAGTTACTGAAGTCTGAAAAAGAGAAAGAAACAAGCCCAGTTTTCTAAATGAATGGTTACAGTCCAGTCAAGGAACAAGTGAACAGAATCCTAAAGAAGGAAAATGTATTTGAAGTGCAGTCAGTTCAGAATTATAGCAGAAGCTACTTAAGTTGGTTTTAGTTTATTGCTGGTACAGATTCTATGACTTAAAGCTTTTCACATATACTTAACAATAAGTACTTTGAGATAACATTGAAGTCATTGCACAGTGTAGCAATTTTTGCATATTTGAAGGTGAGCAACAATGCAAAACTAATATATTAGAAGGTGTATTAATGTACTGTAACAATTAATTGGCTGTTTAGAGGTGCATTTCATTATCATTGGTTAATGTTAAGTTTGTATCTTTTTAAGAATCGGTTTAATGAACCATACCATGTTTTAAAACACTTAATGAAATATATCTAACAAATAATTTGCATTATAATATATTTAAAGGTAACTCCTACAGCATGAATGGCTTACCTGATTATCTTAGATTGTACTGAGTATCCATTAGTCTACAAGCATCCCAACATAAATAAAATGTCTTTTTATTTAGTAAGATACTTGACTGAAATTGCCACTTATGTGGTAAGACGTATTGCTTGTCTTATAACGCAGACTCTGAGTAGGCCACAGTAGTGGTATTTTTTTCATTCTTTAGTTAAGTGGTTATCCAGGCAGCCTGTGAAGAGAGACAGGCACCTGAAGAGGGTGATCCATCCAAGATACTTGTTTTGGAATAAACTAGCCTGTTGCAGAAAGCTTATTTATGCATTGACTAAAGAAGGAGCACATAAAGCTCTCTTAGAATAGAAACCTGGCTTCTAGGTTGCTAAATTAGGCTAGATTAGTTCATTCCTTGAAACTGTAACAGCAGTAAATTAGTATTCGATGTCCTGTGGAATTCCACTAAAAGACTTTAATTGCAAAGCGAGAACTGAGAAAGGTGAAATTCATTAAGGGCTT